TCTAAAGATAAAACCCCCTTCCTCTAAAAAAATGTGAATGAAAGACAAGTCTGGACTGACCTCACCCATGGTGAGCGTATCTCTCAATCATCTAACTCCAAAGTTCCTTCCTCCATTCTGAAAAGCTCCTATGCCATCTTGTTTAGAATTGCTGTCTATCACTGACTCCCTACCACCCACATGAACATAGTTCCCCTCTGTATTGCTACACTCATATACAAGATTAAACATGGTATACCATTCAACCTGGGAAAAATCATCTTTGATCAGATAGTGAGCTTTGCACCAAAAAGGGCCAAACAAAATTCCATTGGTCTTCCTTATCCACTTTTTATTTTTCAAATGCTCAAATCCCAGGGACTTGTAGTTGCAGAAGAAGAAGAACCTGCCCCTCCTCTCCTCCAAGTTGACTTGAGGCACTTTGAAGGGAAACATTACAATGACATGCCAAGATTGGAGGATCAGAAGGCAGCTCCCGCAGTTCTTCAGTCAGACATCTCCAAAACAGCATTCATCAAGGCTGAAATAAAGCTGCTGCAAGAGCAAATTGAAGGATAGAAAAAGCTGATCAAAGGAGCAGAAATCAAAAAGAAGAAATGGGCCATTATTCTGTCAACCCTGGACATCACTCCAGATGAAGCTGCTCAATCTCAGGGGGAGAAGACCGAGCAAGATGCACCTGATGATGCTGCAACACAAGGGGAGCAAAGTGAAGATGATGAAGGCACTGAGGAAGGAGAGGAAAGCTCAGATGCAGAGGAGGATAATCTAGCAGATGAGGAATCAAATTTAAACTCTTCATTTAAATTTCTAGAACACACTACTGTTTTTGGCTACTCAATGTTTTTGGTGGGATTGTTCTGTCCCTGATGATTTGTTCTGGATTCATCTATTCTTACTTTTGCTGCTACTATATGGTATTTTTGACTTGGAGTCTCTATGTTATGGATTGCTTGTTATGAAGACTGGTTCTGATTGATTAATCTGCATATGGTCTCCTGGTCTTACTCAGGTCTTTGCACAGGCAGGATGACCATTTTATGTCTAAGTTGTTCTGATGTACACACTCTTGCACCTTGTCTAAATATTACTCTTCTCCAGTTTCTTGAATAATACATATTTTTGCCTTTGGCATTTTTTTCCAAAAGGGGGAAAAGAGGTTTGGAACCGGCTGAGTGTCTAGTGATTGTGTTTTTCAAAAATTGCCAAAGGGGGAGATTGTTAGCTCTATAATATTTGTCATTTGGGTTGGCGTTATTTTTGACAACACGCAACCACTAGAATATTGTAGTGTAGTGTCCTTGTGTTAGTAGTATTGTTGGTCATCCTGCATGGCAACCTGTTTCAACTAGGACGCTGCGCTGGAAGTACTCAACTCAAAGAAGGATTCCTGTTCTGTCAAGTAATCTGCCTAACCAAAGACTCCTCTCTGGACTCAACGAATATGTGTGCGTAAGAGTTCTATAGACTGCAGGTTAGGGTTTCATCCTGTGTAAGTCCAGAGATATAAATAGCAGTTTAACCGATGGCAGAGGTGTGCGACAAAAAACGATATCAGGCTAAAAAGAGAGAACATACTCAGCGTTCGTACAGAAGAGATTATCATATACATATACGTGAGGTTATGATGAGAGGGTCAGCCATGGATCTTCTCTGAAGTTTTTGTTCAGCTGGTTAATCGTGAGAGGCTGAGCAAAGGTCAAGAACACATCCTTATTGCAAAGCAACGAGAAGGTGTAATAGGCCTGGTTTGACGCAAACAGAGTTTGTGTCTGATCACGTAAGTAGACAAATCTGTTCAATAGAAGGATCTGTTGAGTTTGATTGTGTAATTCTTATGATGATCTAGTGGAAAGGCTATTACACGAATGTGGGCCTCGCAGACGTAGGAGAGTTGGCTCCGAACTGCGTAAACAAATCTCTATGTCTTTACTTGTTTTTGTGTGTGTTGAATTGGGGTTAGAAAAGTTGTTGTAGCATTCTGTGAAACTTAGTTGCTGCGCTACAACACAATTTCCAACTACCTTCTCTCGTGTTAAGTGTGAGTTTAGTTGGTTTATATACTGTGCTGTGGGTGTGGAAATTTCAGATTCAACCTAAATACATATTCTAGCGTTAGATAGGTCCACAAGTTCGACTTAAATTTTACATGAAACTAAGCGACGACCAATAGTGAACTACTACCTCCGTCCCATTTTAAATTGCATGTTTGCCTTTTTTTCCGTCCCAAAATAAGTTGCATGTTAGTTGTTTTCGTAAACTTTTAAAAATAAAATGCCTAAACTACCTCTAAAATAAGTCAATTTTCTCCACATTATATTCTCATTCATCATCATCCCTCCTAAAAAGTATTTACAATTTCGAAAAATCAACTCTATTTTTAATTTTCCTTAAATATGCCAAAAAGTCAAAACAGGCGATTTAAAACGGGACGAAGGGAGTATCAATCATCGGTGTTAAATAGGTCCATGAGTTCTTCTCAAATACGACATTGAAAAAATAATTTTCCTTTTCCTTAACTAAACACACGCTAAGACCTTGCTCTCTTCATTTAATTTGATATATATGATTTTATTAAGGTCTCATCTTGTTGTAGTTATATTTAAAGTTTTTTTTATTTGACTTGATCACATCTAACCTCATTTTCAATAAGAATACAATATACTAGCTCTATTTCATACTCTCTTAGGTCCTAAACATTCTTCATGTTTTGACTTTTTTTAGTCAAATAACGACACTCTTTAACAATAAATTAAGCATATATTCTAAATAAATAAATGTTATAAAACATGATATATCAAAACTATATTCTAAGACGAAACCAAATATATTGAATTTATATTATAATTACATATACTTTTGTTACAATTTATGGTTAAAGTGTGTTAGAGTCTGACCAAAAGAGTTAAACATGAAGAGTTTTTAGGACCGGTTTGAGTATTGTTTATCCATTATGACTTTTAGATACATTGATTAGTGAATGAATTTAGACATGAACTATACCTACATTTATTCAATTTTTAATGTATCCAGAAAATCATAATTAACAGTTAATATGGAAAAATATAGTTAGGTTTGAAAAACTAAAAACCGCCGACCAAACCAAAATCAATTAGACGATACCAAAAAAACCCATTGCAAAGAACCAAAATTGAACACAAAAAACCAAACCAATTCTAGTTGATTTTGGTTTTAGACTTTATTTGAAAATCGAATCAAATCGCAAAAAAAAACTTATTTTCCTAATAATATGTCATTTAATGTCTTATGATGTTAGGCATGAGAGTTGATTACTAGGTTGTGCATTTAGAGATTGCATTAATACAAAAATAAGCTATTATTGGGAAGAGTTCACCTTTTTTTTGAAATGATAGTAAACTTATTTTTATTTTATGAAGATTTGCATGAGTCTTTGTTTTAGAGCCTTGTGACTTTGCGAGTTTTTTTTTAAAATTTTGTGCATTGAGACTTGATACTATGATCAATGACTTATTATTATTATTATTATTATTATTATTATTATTATTATTATTATATGCTTAATTTGACCCTTAGATGGAAATTGATTCATAACTTCATAATATGATTTTTTATTTAATATACAAAATCGAATTGAACTGATTAATCGAAAGTTAAACCGCTAAAAACTGAATCGAAAAACGAAGTCTACCATTATTTCATCTTGAGTTTTGGGTAAAAACCAAATTGTAAAATCCAAACTCATCCCTATATTAGGGTAACCCCAAAAGGTGACCTCAAGCATGACCCCATGGTGCATACAGAGCACAAACTTTTATTGTCTATGTCGCATAGACAACGATGACGAATCCAGAAATTGAAATAGATGAGGGTACTATTATTCGGGGTCTAGGGGCAGCTCCCCTAATTTTTTTGATAAACTATTTGAAATGACAAAAAATAAAGAGTTCTATTTCAAAAATTTATTAAATGTAAAGATTTTTTAAATATGTAATGTAAAATTTTATTTTATTAATAGTTAATTATGTACAGTAAAATACGTTTTACTAGAAAAATTACAAAAAAATTTAATTTGAAATAATTAGATGGAATCACATTCATTTTTGTTAGGTGCATATAAACATTAAAAAAATAAAGAAAAATATTCTTAACTTATTATAAAAGAATTAGTTGGGGGCACTTGCTTTAGAAGAAGTAACAATAAGTGATTAAAGCTGTTTTAAGTTATCTTTAAATTATAGGTCACCTCATGACATGTTTTTGTGTGTTTAAAAATTAATTTATAAAGTTTATCAGAGTTTATGAATATTTCCAAGTGAAATTTGCACTAGATAGGACTAAAACATAAATCATTTCCCAATATATAACTTACTCTCTCCGTCCCAAATTATAATGTCTGTTTAGTATTCACAGGGTCAAACTTTATTCACTTTCTTTCTCTATTTTCGTTAGTAATTTGAAGAAAAAAATATCATTATCACTACTAGTTTTGTAGATCTTTTGATGTAGTTTTTTAATATGTAAATTTTATTTTTTAATTCTATACCATTTATTATATAAAATGGTTTAAAAATAATTTCAGTCAAACATCGTAAACCGAAACAGGCGTTATAAATTGGGACGGAGGTAGTAAAACTTTTTTATTCTCTAAATAGGACTTAATAATGTCAAGTGAGAGGAATAATGTCTAGCAATGATGGACATTTAGTTAAATAATGACTAGATAAAAATTTCTATATTAAAAAATAAAAACATATAGTCTTATATTGAAAAAGTGATTATGTTTCAGTCTTATAATTAATATATTCTTAATTTTTACTTTATTCGTCCAGTGATTGGTAATCTCCAGCATCCAACACTGGAGAGTCACTCGTCCCGTGTCTGTTCGAGATGTACAGGGACATGAACAATGGGAGAAAACACAGAGGTTTTGCTTGTGATTGCGGAAGAGCGGCACCACATATTTGGAACCCATAGGCTCCTCCGCGTATGCGTTCCGCAGAGCCTAACCTTATAGTAATCCCCTCGCGGTCGAGTTCTGTCATTTTCGAAAATCCATGGGTTCCCAGATATGCATAACCAGGCGATTACTTGTTACACCAAAACCTTCATTCACATGTTTTCCATTAAAACATTCGGTGATGTTCCGTGGAGCAGCTACATTGGCAGCCTCACAAACTTCCTCCACATACAACCGAACCTTCTCCCACATTTTCCAAGATTGTTCGAGCCAAAGGGCCCTGTTTGCTGGGAAACAAGCCCATGCCCTTATGATAACTTCTGGGTTTGTACCCACCGTCTTTGTTACCAATTGTTTGATTCAATTGTACATAAACTGCTCTTGTCTCCACTATGCAGACAAAGTGTTTGATATCATGCCTCAAAGAGACACGGTTACGTGGAATGCAATGATTTCCAGGTATACCATGGTTGGTGATCTGAGGAAGGCGGAGATGGCTTTTGGCTTCATGCCAAATAGAGATGTCATATCTTGGAATTCTATGATGTCAGGGTACTTGCAGAATGGAGATCATGAAAAAGCTGTCGAAGTTTTTGTAGAAATGGGGAAAGAGGATGTTGCTTTCGATAGGACCACTTTTTCCGTTGCACTGAAAATTATCTCAGCCTTGGACGATCTTGGTTTGGGGTTGCAGGTTCATGGGTTGGTCACTAAAATGTCATTTAATATGGATGTGACTGTTGGAACTGCAATTGTTGATATGTATTCCAAGTGCAAGAGACTAGATGAGGCGATGTGTTTCTTTACTGAAATGTCAGAGAAGAATTCTGTTTCTTGGAGTGCTTTGATTGCAGGTCATGTCCAGAACAACCAGCTTGTTGAGGGATTAGAGCTTTTCAAGAAGATGCAAAATCAAGAACTCAGTGTTTGTCAGTCTACTTACGCCAGTCTCTTCAGGTCTTGTGCAGGGTTGTCCTACTTGAGTTTTGGTTGTCAGTTGCACGGCCATACACTGAAGACCAATTTTGCGTCTGATTTCATTGTAGGAACTTCCATTTTGGATATGTATGCAAAATGCAGCAAGCTAACAGAAGCTCGGAAGGTATTCGACCTCTTGCCATTCCGCACTTTGCAATCTTATAATGCAATGATTGTTGGGTATGCTCGGGGAAACAAAAAGTTTGAGGCTTTAAGGTTATTCCAGACTTTGATCAAGTCTGGTCTTGGCTATAATGAAATAGCTTTATCAGGAGTGTTCAGTGCTTGTGCAGGAGCCAAAGCGCTTTCAGAAGGAGTTCAGTTCCATGCATTAGTCATCAAGACACCTTTTCAATCTAACATTAGTGTGGCAAATTCTGTTCTCGACATGTATGGGAAATGCGAAGCACCTAATGAAGCTCGTCGTCAGTTCGATGAGATGGAGTTTAGGGATGCTGTGTCCTGGAATGCCATTATTGCTGCTTGTGAGAAGAATGGATTAACAGAGGAAACCCTAATGCTCTTTTTTTCCATGATTCAGTCAAAGATGGAACCCGATGAGTTCACTTATGGCAGTGTTTTAAAAGTGTGTGCAGCCAAACAGGCTCTGCAACGCGGCATGGAGATCCATAGCAGAATCTTGAAATCCGGATTGGGATTTCACTCATTTATAGGAAGCTCTCTTGTCGATATGTACTGCAAGTGTGGGAAGCTAAAAGAAGCCGAGAGGCTTCATTACAGAATGGATGAACAAACCATTGTTTCTTGGAACGCAATAATTTCTGGGTTCTCAATGCACGAGCGCAGTGAAGAAGCTCAAATTTTCTTTTCTAAAATGTTGTGCGAGGATGGAGTGAAACCGGACAACTTCACGTATGCAACGGTTCTTGATATTTGTGCTAATATGGCGACCGTTGGACTCGGGAAGCAGATCCATGCCCAAATCATGAAACAAGATTTGCTTTCGGATGCCTACATTATAAGCACTCTTGTGGACATGTATTCAAAGTGTGGGGACCTTCATGATGCCAAGTTGGCTTTTGAGAAAGCTCCGAAAAAGGATCTTGTGACATGGAACGCCATAATATGTGGGTCTGCCCAGCACGGCCTCGCAGAAGATGCATTGCAGATTTTCGGAAGGATGGAACAGGCAGGCATTTTGCCCAACCACTCTACTTTTCTTGCAGTCCTCCGTGCTTGCGTCCATATGGGACTCGTAGAAAAGGGGTTGAGCTATTTCAATATGATGGAGAAGTACGGGCTGGAACATCAAATGGAACATTTCTCGTGCATGGTGGAAATTTTAGGGCGGGCGGGTCGGGCGTCCGATGCCCTGAAGCTTATCCGGGATATGCCTTTCATGGCCGACGACGTCACTTGGAGAACCCTGCTAAGTACCTGCAAAATGAATGTGAACGTAGAAGTGGCGGAAGTTGCTGCAAATTCCCTTTTGCAGATAGACCCCATGGACTCGTCCACATATGTTCTTCTGTGCAATGTTTATGCCAATGCAGGAATGTGGGAACGGGTTGCGGGCATAAGGAAGGAAATGCGATTTGGGTGTCTAAAGAAGGAACCGGGATGTAGCTGGATTGAGGTGAACTCTGAGGTGCATATGTTTTATGTTGGAGACAAAGCTCATCCTAGATGCACAGACATATATACAAACCTGGATTTGCTGATCACTGAAATGAAGCTTGCTGGAACTGGATATGAACTTGGATTGTGAACTTTCACCTTGCAGTGATGAAGGTAAGTAGATAACCCACAAGTCTTATTTCTTTACTGAACCATGGGAGCCAAAATTCCTCAAATAAAATTCCTCAAATAAAATTCCTCTACGCTAAAATTTTCTTTCTAGTTTTACTTGGGATGCATTATAAGAAGTTTTTCTTCCCATTGGTGTATTTTTTTTCCAAAATACAAAGAGAAAAATATACCCGAGTAATCAAAAGCTGTCTAGATTTAGTTGTTTCTTTTATCCAAAATACCTCAAATTTACTGAATGACTTAAAAATATTCAAAAATCGTGATATTAGCATAATTTTCATTGATGGCATGATTATTCACAATTATTTAATGTAGGCAAACGATTAATTTAGGATGTCTACAAAAAGGAAAAGTTTGGCAACTAATATGAACTAAGGGTAAATCTAGACAGTAAATTTCAGTCGCATATGACGTTAATGTCGACCATGTGATGATTGAAAAATGAAAATTTATCCTATAACCAAAATAGAATGAGTGAGTTACAACATATGACGTTATGGTACAAATCTGCTTTATTAGTAGTCGCATCTTACCCGTACGTTTCTCAATAGCAAAAGACGTGAAACCTTTTTCACTCCACAGAAGTTGCTAACACTTGGTGGGCAGAGATTTGGTTGCTTGACCAACATAGTCGTCCACCTTGTCAAGACCTTTCGAGCTGCTCCAACATGTTGAGCTAATTCATTAATTTGCACTCGAATATTTTCACCTTCACGCATCCTCAATACATCCTTGAGTTTCATACTTTGTTTCTTCCTTGAAACACCATTTGCATCTAATTTTCAAGAGATAAATATACATAAGTTAATGATAAATAAGATGAATGAAAAAACGAAGATAAAAAAGATACCTATAATGTTAACTTCATGAAAGAAATTATCTTCTTCAAGTTCATCCTCACTTATCTCATTTGTTTGAGGGATAGCATCTTCAATTTCATCCTCGCTGGCCGACTTTCATTGCTCTCGCTTTCATCATTGCTTGTCTCATCCTCTCTAGCTTCAACAAGACGGGGTGAAGAAGATTTAAGTAGTGCCCCTAGTGACGAAGTTGATGCTCGTTCAGGCTGACCGAACAGAGGTCAAAATCTCGTGTACTTTTGATGGGTGGGTGGATGACTCATGAAAATTGTTTATAAAGGAGGAAGATAGGTTTTGAACAGACTCACGTACTAGGATACTAGGTGAAGTGATCTCATGGAGATCACAGGGCGGCGAAGCTGTTCTGTATGCTTACTCAAACTTTTTGACTTTGCCATTTTAAAAATCACCTACACATAATATAGCTCAAAAAATATGATTCATTTAATCCAAAAAAATGGCTCAAAAAATATTATTAATTTGAACAACAATAGCAAAACAACTGAACATTAGAAGTATATTTCATAGCAAGTCATGCATCTACTATTAGACAATTAATATAGTTTAAGGGAAAATATGGATGATAAATATATATCAAAATATAAAACTATTAGAAACATTCAACTAAAACATTATCAAGAATTGTGATCCTCATTCTCAATTCTGTGCCGACCACAAAGTTGACTTATATCTTCAATTGTTGGTACTCTCACCATCATCCTCTTCCACATTGACCCTCATGTCATACAACATGTGCCCATTCTTTATCCTTCTGACCCTTCACATAAGACACTTGCTTTACTTGAGATGACAGAACAAATGGATCATCCTTTAAATCCTTACCAGTGTGAGTTAACTTATTAAAATTTACGAGGGGATACCCAAACTTATCCACCTTCAATCCTCCTGCTGATTGCCAGATATCGACCCTATAACACCGAAAAAGCACAACTTTACAGCTATTAAAGTAGTCCAGTTCATAAATATCTAATAAGACCAGAATAGCTTTGGATCCTACAATCCATGTTAGAAGTTTCTCCTTGAACTTCCAAAACAACACCTGAATTTTGACTTCTAAATCTTTCACGATCAACTGTATGAAATCTGAATCCGTTAATCATAAAGGCTTTAAATCTCTTAACATATGTGCTTGGACTTCTCGCAAGAACTTTCAGCTCTACACTAAAGTTACCTTTCTCCATGATTGGTACTATAATTGAATATTCAATTGCATTATGGTATGAGTAAAAATGATCCAAGTTATCAACATTTGTGCTTCCAAATATACTCAAACCTGTTGTTGCAGCCACAAAGAAAACTCTTCAACTAGCCATTTATTCTCTAACCGTTGACTACCTCGCTTACCAAGTGCACCACGTTTTTCACTCAAAAAGAATCTACAACCATCAATAACTGAAACTCACCTATTTATGAATATATCTGTGTGTGCGTGTACGCATTGATACTTACTCGAGACAGGGGGGGACTTGCTCGCTATGTAGAACATAACGATGAGCTTGGGCAAATGATAGGGCATCCAGCTGAAGGTTTTCAACCTTACCTAGAGCACGAGCACTGGAGTTAAACAAGTAAATCTCCTTGTTAGGAATTTTATCATCATTCCTTTGGGGACAAGTGAATCTGGTCTCTATGCCTGTGAAATATCTTGAACAAAAAGTAAGACATTCATCTGCAATAAATCCTTCTGCAATTGAGCCCTCTGGTTGTGCTTTATTACGAAAATATGATTTTAAGCGCACCAAAAACTTTCAGTGAGCAATAGAATATAGAATTCCTATTAGTGAACATATGCAGTTAATAAAAAAATCAATATTTAAAAAACTCGCCTTTCAATTGGATACATCCAACGATGCATAACTGGTCCTCCTAGTTTAGCCTCAGAAACCAAGTGAGTTACCAAATGTACCATTATAGTGAAAAAACTAGAGAGTAATATTTGCTCCATGTCACATAAAGTCCTTATAATTGGATGTTGTAATCGATCCAACTCTTTAAGGTCGAGGACCTTTTTACAAATTCAATTGATCCAACACTTCAAGGTGGCAGAGAGGGTGGCAATGTGGCGACAGAGTCGGCAGTGTGGATGACGAAGTTAGCTGTGGCAGCAGTGGTGGCACTGACGGTAGTGGTGGTGGTGGTGGCGGTGGTTGCGTGTTGGTGGTGTCGGCAATTTGGATGCGGTGGTCGTGATGGTGGTAGTGTGGCGGTGTCGGTGCCGTTTTGAAATTGGGGATGATTGCATTGTGGCAATAGGGATGGCGGTTCCGTTTGTTAGAAATTAGATTATTTATATAAATACAAAGAAGATTATTCATGTAAAAAAAAATAAAATGTTCTAATCAAAATTTAAGTTACTCCCTGTATATATTCCAAGTTAAAACTGAAAATGAAAAAAAACATCCAGGTTCCAAGCATGGGCTAAATTTGCAAAGAAAATCTGGGTAAAAAAACTTGAAAGATTAATAACTTACAGTCCAATAACAAGACCAGTTGAAGAGCAAGTGGCCATGCCCCAGCTACACGGATATACAGAGTTAATAACGGAATTATCAAGAACCCCATGGCGATTCTCCAGATACGGTTTTATGCTCATTAAAGCTAGAACTGAATTTCAAAAATGCTGAAAAAAGGATAAGCAAAAAAGTTACGAATTTGAAATGTTCATGGTGAAAAGACAATGATGACCACAATACATGAACTGGAAGCTTAAATTCCTTCAAAGTTGAAAATTTACACCTTTAGGGGATAATAAACAAAGGGAAGAAGAGAAGAGAAAGCTACGAAATGAGATAGATCATAACACTGCATTTCATATTATTCACAATAATAATATAACCATTATGGTGTATGAGATTGTATTGACAGCTTATTAAAAGTACATAATCGATGGATTGAATCACATTAACTTCCTTGAGGGCCTCCAAACCAACTGAAGATAGTTTAGCTGGCAGGAGTAAATTAAACTTTAATCAAAATCTGATTGAAAAGGAGTTCACATCTAGTACTTACAAAGACCCCACTAGTACATATAGAGACCTCATACTGAGCATGATTGCCTCCTAACATAATTGTCAAGAATCAAACTCAAGACCTCTACTGAGAAGCTATATTAAAGAATCAGGAATTGTTGATGAGCCAAATAGAGAATTCTCCCTTGTTTTTTAATTGCAGTGAAAATTTGTTTGAATCCTACCAACTTCGCAATGATAAGTTCAAGTTTGACATAAAAACTACCCTTAGTTCATATTAGTTGCCAAACTTTTCCTTTTTGTAGACATCCTAAATTAATCGTTTGCCTACATTAAATAATTGTGAATAATCATGCCATCAATGAAAATTATGCTAATATCACGATTTTTGAATATTTTTAAGTCATTCAGTAAATTTGAGGTATTTTGGATAAAAGAAACAACTAAATCTAGACAGCTTTTGATTACTCGGGTATATTTCTTTCATGAAGTTAACATTATAGGTATCTTTTTTATCTTCGTTTTTTCATTCATCTTATTTATCATTAACTTATGTATATTTATCTCTTGAAAATTAGATGCAAATGGTGTTTCAAGGAAGAAACAAAGTATGAAACTCAAGGATGTATTGAGGATGCGTGAAGGTGAAAATATTCGAGTGCAAATTAATGAATTAGCTCAACATGTTGGAGCAGCTCGAAAGGTCTTGACAAGGTGGACGACTATGTTGGTCAAGCAACCAAATCTCTGCCCACCAAGTGTTAGCAACTTCTGTGGAGTGAAAAAGGTTTCACGTCTTTTGCTATTGAGAAACGTACGGGTAAGATGCGACTACTAATAAAGCAGATTTGTACCATAACGTCATATGTTGTAACTCACTCATTCTATTTTGGTTATAGGATAAATTTTCATTTTTCAATCATCACATGGTCGACATTAACGTCATATGCGACTGAAATTTACTGTCTAGATTTACCCTTAGTTCATATTAGTTGCCAAACTTTTCCTTTTTGTAGACATCCTAAATTAATCGTTTGCCTACATTAAATAATTGTGAATAATCATGCCATCAATGAAAATTATGCTAATATCACGATTTTTGAATATTTTTAAGTCATTCAGTAAATTTGAGGTATTTTGGATAAAAGAAACAACTAAATCTAGACAGCTTTTGATTACTCGGGTATATTTTTCTCTTTGTATTTTGGAAAAAAAATACACCAATGGGAAGAAAAACTTCTTATAATGCATCCCAAGTAAAACTAGAAAGAAAATTTTAGCGTAGAGGAATTTTATTTGAGGAATTTTATTTGAGGAATTTTGGCTCCCATGGTTCAGTAAAGAAATAAGACTTGTGGGTTATCTACTTACCTTCATCACTGCAAGGTGAAAGTTCACAATCCAAGTTCATATCCAGTTCCAGCAAGCTTCATTTCAGTGATCAGCAAATCCAGGTTTGTATATATGTCTGTGCATCTAGGATGAGCTTTGTCTCCAACATAAAACATATGCACCTCAGAGTTCACCTCAATCCAGCTACATCCCGGTTCCTTCTTTAGACACCCAAATCGCATTTCCTTCCTTATGCCCGCAACCCGTTCCCACATTCCTGCATTGGCATAAACATTGCACAGAAGAACATATGTGGACGAGTCCATGGGGTCTATCTGCAAAAGGGAATTTGCAGCAACTTCCGCCACTTCTACGTTCACATTCATTTTGCAGGTACTTAGCAGGGTTCTCCAAGTGACGTCGTCGGCCATGAAAGGCATATCCCGGATAAGCTTCAGGGCATCGGACGCCCGACCCGCCCGCCCTAAAATTTCCACCATGCACGAGAAATGTTCCATTTGATGTTCCAGCCCGTACTTCTCCATCATATTGAAATAGCTCAACCCCTTTTCTACGAGTCCCATATGGACGCAAGCACGGAGGACTGCAAGAAAAGTAGAGTGGTTGGGCAAAATGCCTGCCTGTTCCATCCTTCCGAAAATCTGCAATGCATCTTCTGCGAGGCCGTGCTGGGCAGACCCACATATTATGGCGTTCCATGTCACAAGATCCTTTTTCGGAGCTTTCTCAAAAGCCAACTTGGCATCATGAAGGTCCCCACACTTTGAATACATGTCCACAAGAGTGCTTATAATGTAGGCATCCGAAAGCAAATCTTGTTTCATGATTTGGGCATGGATCTGCTTCCCGAGTCCAACGGTCGCCATATTAGCACAAATATCAAGAACCGTTGCATACGTGAAGTTGTCCGGTTTCACTCCATCCTCGCACAACATTTTAGAAAAGAAAATTTGAGCTTCTTCACTGCGCTCGTGCATTGAGAACCCAGAAATTATTGCGTTCCAAGAAACAATGGTTTGTTCATCCATTCTGTAATGAAGCCTCTCGGCTTCTTTTAGCTTCCCACACTTGCAGTACATATCGACAAGAGAGCTTCCTATAAATGAGTGAAATCCCAATCCGGATTTCAAGATTCTGCTATGGATCTCCATGCCGCGTTGCAGAGCCTGTTTGGCTGCACACACTTTTAAAACACTGCCATAAGTGAACTCATCGGGTTCCATCTTTGACTGAATCATGGAAAAAAAGAGCATTAGGGTTTCCTCTGTTAATCCATTCTTCTCACAAGCAGCAATAATGGCATTCCAGGACACAGCATCCCTAAACTCCATCTCATCGAACTGACGACGAGCTTCATTAGGTGCTTCGCATTTCCCATACATGTCGAGAACAGAATTTGCCACACTAATGTTAGATTGAAAAGGTGTCTTGATGACTAATGCATGGAACTGAACTCCTTCTGAAAGCGCTTTGGCTCCTGCACAAGCACTGAACACTCCTGATAAAGCTATTTCATTATAGCCAAGACCAGACTTGATCAAAGTCTGGAATAACCTTAAAGCCTCAAACTTTTTGTTTCCCCGAGCATACCCAACAATCATTGCATTATAAGATTGCAAAGTGCGGAATGGCAAGAGGTCGAATACCTTCCGAGCTTCTGTTAGCTTGCTGCATTTTGCATACATATCCAAAATGGAAGTTCCTACAATGAAATCAGACGCAAAATTGGTCTTCAGTGTATGGCCGTGCAACTGACAACCAAAACTCAAGTAGGACAACCCTGCACAAGACCTGAAGAGACTGGCGTAAGTAGACTGACAAACACTGAGTTCTTGATTTTGCATCTTCTTGAAAAGCTCTAATCCCTCAACAAGCTGGTTGTTCTGGACATGACCTGCAATCAAAGCACTCCAAGAAACAGAATTCTTCTCTGACATTTCAGTAAAGAAACACATCGCCTCATCTAGTCTCTTGCACTTGGAATACATATCAACAATTGCAGTTCCAACAGTCACATCCATATTAAATGACATTTTAGTGACCAACCCATGAACCTGCAACCCCAAACCAAGATCGTCCAAGGCTGAGATAATTTTCAGTGCAACGGAAAAAGTGGTCCTATCGAAAGCAACATCCTCTTTCCCCATTTCTACAAAAACTTCGACAGCTTTTTCATGATCTCCATTCTGCAAGTACCCTGACATCATAGAATTCCAAGATATGACATCTCTATTTGGCATGAAGCCAAAAGCCATCTCCGCCTTCCTCAGATCACCAACCATGGTATACCTGGAAATCATTGCATTCCACGTAACCGTGTCTCTTTGAGGCATGATATCAAACACTTTGTCTGCATAGTGGAGACAAGAGCAGTTTATGTACAATTGAATCAAACAATTGGTAACAAAGACGGTGGGTACAAACCCAGAAGTTATCATAAGGGCATGGGCTTGTTTCCCAGCAAACAGGGCCCTTTGGCTCGAACAATCTTGGAAAATGTGGGAGAAGGTTCGGTTGTATGTGGAGGAAGTTTGTGAGGCTGCCAATGTAGCTGCTCCACGGAACATCACCGAATGTTTTAATGGAAAACATGTGAATGAAGGTTTTGGTGTAACAAGTAATCGCCTGGTTATGCATATCTGGGAACCCATGGATTTTCGAAAATGACAGAACTCGACCGCGAGGGGATTACTATAAGGTTAGGCTCTGCGGAACGCATACGCGGAGGAGCCTATGGGTTCCAAATATGTGGTGCCGCTCTTCCGCAATCACAAGCAAAACCTCTGTGTTTTCTCCCATTGTTCATGTCCCTGTACATCTCGAACAGACACGGGACGAGTGACTCTCCAGTGTTGGATGCTGGAGATTACCAATCACTGGACGAATAAAGTAAAAATTAAGAATATATTAATTATAAGACTGAAACATAATCACTTTTTCAATATAAGACTATATGTTTTTATTTTTTAATATAGAAATTTTTATCTAGTCATTATTTAACTAAATGTCCATCATTGCTAGACATTATTCCTCTCACTTGACATTATTAAGTCCTATTTAGAGAATAAAAAAGTTTTACTACCTCCGTCCCAATTTATAACGCCTGTTTCGGTTTACGATGTTTGACTGAAATTATTTTTAAACCATTTTATATAATAAATGGTATAGAATTAAAAAATAAAATTTACATATTAAAAAACTACATCAAAAGATCTACAAAACTAGTAGTGATAATGATATTTTTTTCTTCAAATTACTAACGAAAATAGAGAAAGAAAGTGAATAAAGTTTGACCCTGTGAATACTAAACAGACATTATAATTTGGGACGGAGAGAGTAAGTTATATATTGGGAAATGATTTATGTTTTAGTCCTATCTAGTGCAAATTTCACTTGGAAATATTCATAAACTCTGATAAACTTTATAAATTAATTTTTAAACACACAAAAACATGTCATGAGGTGACCTATAATTTAAAGATAACTTAAAACAGCTTTAATCACTTATTGTTACTTCTTCTAAAGCAAGTGCCCCCAACTAATTCTTTTATAATAAGTTAAGAATATTTTTCTTTATTTTTTTAATGTTTATATGCACCTAACAAAAATGAATGTGATTCCATCTAATTATTTCAAATTAAATTTTTTTGTAATTTTTCTAGTAAAACGTATTTTACTGTACATAATTAACTATTAATAAAATAAAATTTTACATTACATATTTAAAAAATCTTTACATTTAATAAATTTTTGAAATAGAACTCTTTATTTTTTGTCATTTCAAATAGTTTATCAAAAAAATTAGGGGAGCTGCCCCTAGACCCCGAATAATAGTACCCTCATCTATTTCAATTTCTGGATTCGTCATCGTTGTCTATGCGACATAGACAATAAAAGTTTGTGCTCTGTATGCACCATGGGGTCATGCTTGAGGTCACCTTTTGGGGTTACCCTAATATAGGGATGAGTTTGGATTTTACAATTTGGTTTTTACCCAAAACTCAAGATGAAATAATGGTAGACTTCGTTTTTCGATTCAGTTTTTAGCGGTTTAACTTTCGATTAATCAGTTCAATTCGATTTTGTATATTAAATAAAAAATCATATTATGAAGTTATGAATCAATTTCCATCTAAGGGTCAAATTAAGCATATAATAATAATAATAATAATAATAATAATAATAATAATAATAATAAGTCATTGATCATAGTATCAAGTCTCAATGCACAAAATTTTAAAAAAAAACTCGCAAAGTCACAAGGCTCTAAAACAAAGACTCATGCAAATCTTCATAAAATAAAAATAAGTTTACTATCATTTCAAAAAAAAGGTGAACTCTTCCCAATAATAGCTTATTTTTGTATTAATGCAATCTCTAAATGCACAACCTAGTAATCAACTCTCATGCCTAACATCATAAGACATTAAATGACATATTATTAGGAAAATAAGTTTTTTTTTGCGATTTGATTCGATTTTCAAATAAAGTCTAAAACCAAAATCAACTAGAATTGGTTTGGTTTTTTGTGTTCAATTTTGGTTCTTTGCAATGGGTTTTTTTGGTATCGTCTAATTGATTTTGGTTTGGTCGGCGGTTTTTAGTTTTTCAAACCTAACTATATTTTTCCATATTAACTGTTAATTATGATTTTCTGGATACATTAAAAATTGAATAAATGTAGGTATAGTTCATGTCTAAATTCATTCACTAATCAATGTATCTAAAAGTCATAATGGATAAACAATACTCAAACCGGTCCTAAAAACTCTTCATGTTTAACTCTTTTGGTCAGACTCTAACACACTTTAACCATAAATTGTAACAAAAGTATATGTAATTATAATATAAATTCAATATATTTGGTTTCGTCTTAGAATATAGTTTTGATATATCATGTTTTATAACATTTATTTATTTAGAATATATGCTTAATTTATTGTTAAAGAGTGTCGTTATTTGACTAAAAAAAGTCAAAACATGAAGAATGTTTAGGACCTAAGAGAGTATGAAATAGAGCTAGTATATTGTATTCTTATTGAAAATGAGGTTAGATGTGATCAAGTCAAATAAAAAAAACTTTAAATATAACTACAACAAGATGAGACCTTAATAAAATCATATATATCAAATTAAATGAAGAGAGCAAGGTCTTAGCGTGTGTTTAGTTAAGGAAAAGGAAAATTATTTTTTCAATGTCGTATTTGAGAAGAACTCATGGACCTATTTAACACCGATGATTGATACTCCCTTCGTCCCGTTTTAAATCGCCTGTTTTGACTTTTTGGCATATTTAAGGAAAATTAAAAATAGAGTTGATTTTTCGAAATTGTAAATACTTTTTAGGAGGGATGATGATGAATGAGAATATAATGTGGAGAAAATTGACTTATTTTAGAGGTAGTTTAGGCATTTTATTTTTAAAAGTTTACGAAAACAACTAACATGCAACTTATTTTGGGACGGAAAAAAAGGCAAACATGCAATTTAAAATGGGACGGAGGTAGTAGTTCACTATTGGTCGTCGCTTAGTTTCATGTAAAATTTAAGTCGAACTTGTGGACCTATCTAACGCTAGAATATGTATTTAGGTTGAATCTGAAATTTCCACACCCACAGCACAGTATATAAACCAACTAAACTCACACTTAACACGAGAGAAGGTAGTTGGAAATTGTGTTGTAGCGCAGCAACTAAGTTTCACAGAATGCTACAACAACTTTTCTAACCCCAATTCAACACACACAAAAACAAGTAAAGACATAGAGATTTGTTTACGCAGTTCGGAGCCAACTCTCCTACGTCTGCGAGGCCCACATTCGTGTAATAGCCTTTCCACTAGATCATCATAAGAATTACACAATCAAACTCAACAGATCCTTCTATTGAACAGATTTGTCTACTTACGTGATCAGACACAAACTCTGTTTGCGTCAAACCAGGCCTATTACACCTTCTCGTTGCTTTGCAATAAGGATGTGTTCTTGACCTTTGCTCAGCCTCTCACGATTAACCAGCTGAACAAAAACTTCAGAGAAGATCCATGGCTGACCCTCTCATCATAACCTCACGTATATGTATATGATAATCTCTTCTGTACGAACGCTGAGTATGTTCTCTCTTTTTAGCCTGATATCGTTTTTTGTCGCACACCTCTGCCATCGGTTAAACTGCTATTTATATCTCTGGACTTACACAGGATGAAACCCTAACCTGCAGTCTATAGAACTCTTACGCACACATATTCGTTGAGTCCAGAGAGGAGTCTTTGGTTAGGCAGATTACTTGACAGAACAGGAATCCTTCTTTGAGTTGAGTACTTCCAGCGCAGCGTCCTAGTTGAAACAGGTTGCCATGCAGGATGACCAACAATACTACTAACACAAGGACACTACACTACAATATTCTAGTGGTTGCGTGTTGTCAAAAATAACGCCAACCCAAATGACAAATATTATAGAGCTAACAATCTCCCCCTTTGGCAATTTTTGAAAAACACAATCACTAGACACTCAGCCGGTTCCAAACCTCTTTTCCCCCTTTTGGAAAAAAATGCCAAAGGCAAAAATATGTATTATTCAAGAAACTGGAGAAGAGTAATATTTAGACAAGGTGCAAGAGTGTGTACATCAGAACAACTTAGACATAAAATGGTCATCCTGCCTGTGCAAAGACCTGAGTAAGACCAGGAGACCATATGCAGATTAATCAATCAGAACCAGTCTTCATAACAAGCAATCCATAACATAGAGACTCCAAGTCAAAAATACCATATAGTAGCAGCAAAAGTAAGAATAGATGAATCCAGAACAAATCATCAGGGACAGAACAATCCCACCAAAAACATTGAGTAGCCAAAAACAGTAGTGTGTTCTAGAAATTTAAATGAAGAGTTTAAATTTGATTCCTCATCTGCTAGATTATCCTCCTCTGCATCTGAGCTTTCCTCTCCTTCCTCAGTGCCTTCATCATCTTCACTTTGCTCCCCTTGTGTTGCAGCATCATCAGGTGCATCTTGCTCGGTCTTCTCCCCCTGAGATTGAGCAGCTTCATCTGGAGTGATGTCCAGGGTTGACAGAATAATGGCCCATTTCTTCTTTTTGATTTCTGCTCCTTTGATCAGCTTTTTCTATCCTTCAATTTGCTCTTGCAGCAGCTTTATTTCAGCCTTGATGAATGCTGTTTTGGAGATGTCTGACTGAAGAACTGCGGGAGCTGCCTTCTGATCCTCCAATCTTGGCATGTCATTGTAATGTTTCCCTTCAAAGTGCCTCAAGTCAACTTGGAGGAGAGGAGGGGCAGGTTCTTCTTCTTCTGCAACTACAAGTCCCTGGGATTTGAGCATTTGAAAAATAAAAAGTGGATAAGGAAGACCAATGGAATTTTGTTTGGCCCTTTTTGGTGCAAAGCTCACTATCTGATCAAAGATGATTTTTCCCAGGTTGAATGGTATACCATGTTTAATCTTGTATATGAGTGTAGCAATACAGAGGGGAACTATGTTCATGTGGGTGGTAGGGAGTCAGTGATAGACAGCAATTCTAAACAAGATGGCATAGGAGCTTTTCAGAATGGAGGAAGGAACTTTGGAGTTAGATGATTGAGAGATACGCTCACCATGGGTGAGGTCAGTCCAGACTTGTCTTTCATTCACATTTTTTTAGAGGAAGGGGGTTTTATCTTTAGAAACTGATTGATTTTGGTAGGGGACAAATCAAAAGATTTTCCTCTCACAAACACTTTGTGGTAAGAGGGGTCTGTGTAGGTGTTGCAACCCTTAGACAAATTGCAGTAAAACTCATGAATGACTTTTCTCACATAAGATCCAGGTAAGGTGATTGATTTGAGCAAGTTACATTTTTTCAGCACAGGAATTAAGTTAGTTTTTGCTTCAAAATCCTCAACATCAATACTTCTTTGAGGCAATATGGTTTTCTTGATAATCACAGACATGAAAGAACTAGCACTTGATGAGACAAAGAGGTGTTTAGAGAACTTTCCTGGTTTGGGGGTTTTCCCTGCTGGTGCTTCTTTCCTCTTGCTGCTTTGACTTCTAGTTGAGAGTTTTTCTGAGGGAGGCGACCTCTTCTGCTTCTTTGAAATCCCTTCTTGACCATCTCTTTCTTTCTCCTTTTGCTTTAACTCCTTCTTTGGAACTTCACTTGCTTGAATTTCTTCAATACTTTCTCATTCTTGATCTTCTTTTGCCATTGACGTAATGACCATCTAGAACCAGAGCGTTTCGCCATTGCTTTCTTGGGTGCTGGTATTGTGAGTTGCACACCTTCAAATGGCACATCTGAGCATGCTAGTAAGGGTTCTTCACCCACAATCTCTGCATTTTCTTCTCTGACAGCAGATCTTTCTCCTTTTCGTCTTGCATGTTCTCTTCTTGATGAGTGGTTGTGTACTCTAGATGGAGAGTTTCTGGGATTGTTGCTAGAGGATGAAAAATTACATCATCTTCTGTGACATCTCTGGCTTTGGCTTCTGCATATTGTGAACCTGGTTGCTCCATGTTTGATTCTAGCAGATTGGATTGTGTTAGGTTTTCTCTGTCTTCTTCAACCTCCTTCGTTTCCAGATGTACATCGGACTGCTGTGAGTCCTTTGTAGCCAGTAGACGCGTCCAACGGTGTTTTGCCCAGAGTTCCTTTTTGAGTGACGATTTTCCCTTCCACCATTTTGGGAGTGCATGCTTGATTCTCACCATTTTCGTCTTTCTCCAATTTGTTCAAGCTTGAGAGCTTTGAAAATTAGGGTTCTTGAGATACCGAGGTTCTTACCAAACCTCTTTTATTTACGAGATAATATAGGTGACTCTTCGTGTGGCGCATTACTATGAGACGGAGCATGTCATTATTTCTCTTCCAACTCAGCAGATTTTTTTTGAGAATTGAGCACATTAGCTGACAATTTGTGCTCAATTTTTTTATGTGGTTTATTGAAATGGTGCGCACAGACCCAAATTAGATCTGAGAGTCTCAAATCTTTCTCCGTCAAGTGCTTTTGTAAATATATTAGCTAATTGATGTTCAGTAGGAATGTATTCAAGAGCGACAATATTTCCTTCCACTAGCTCACGTATGAAGTGATGTTTAATATCAATATACTTGGTACGTGAGTGTAGTACTGGATTTTTGGATATATTTATGGCGATTTTGTTGTCGCAATAAATGGGAATAGTATCATGCTGGATTCCATAATCAGTTAGCATTGACTTCATCCACAGAAGTTGTGCACAACAACTCCCGCCAGCAATGTATTCAGCTTCTGCAGTAGATAGTGAGATAGAATTCTGCTTTTTACTAAGCCATGCTACTAAATTGCCTGCTAAATAGAAGCATCCCTCTGAAGTGCTTTTGCAATCATCAATGTTGCCTGCCCAATCTGCATCACTATATGCCATAAGTTGTGCTAGAGCACCTTTAGAATACCAGAGACCCATGTTATGTGTGCCCTTAACATATTTCAATATTCTTTTTACTGCCTTCATATGTGATTCTTTAGGCTTAGCTTGATATCTCGCACATACTCCCACATTGTAGCATGTATCGGGTCTGCTTGCAGTGATATACAACAGACTTCAATATTCCACTATCATCCCTGCTTATTTTCTCATGTGTTGGACATGGTGTTCTGGAACTTTTACAGTCGCTCATATCAAACTTCTTCAGCATATTCAAAGCATATTTATTTTGGGAAATAAAAATTCCATCATTGGTCTGCTTGATTTATAGCCCCAGGAAGTAGGTCAATTCCCCAATCATGCTCATTTCAAACTCTTTTTCCATGACTTCCACGAATTTCCCAACATAGATTTTTGAGGTTGAACCAAACAGTATGTCATCAACATAAATTTGAGCTACCAGTATATCCTTTCCGTACCTGATATAGAACATGGTGTTGTCCACTCCTCCCCTGGTGTACCCTTGCTTGCATAAATATGTTGTACGTCTGTCATACCAGGCTCGTGGGGCCTGCTTCAAGCCATAGAGTGCCTTGCGAAGCTTGAAAACATGTGTTGGATGTGTTGTATCTTCAAATCCTTTGGGTTGAGATACATATACCTCTTCTTTAAGATATCCATTTAGGAAGGCTGTTTTGACATCTATTTGATACAGTTTCATACTCCAGACACATGCCATACTAATGAGTATTCGAATTGATTCAAGTCTTGCTACAGGTGCAAAGGTTTCTTCAAAGTCAACTCCTTCAACCTGTGTATATCCCCGAGCCACTAGCCTCACTTTGTTTCTGATCACTTTGCCATCTTCATCTGTTTTGTTGCGAAATATCCACTTCGTGCCAATAATGTTCACGTCCTCAGGTTTTGGTACCAGTTCCCATACCTGATTTCGTTCAAACTGTGCAAGCTCCTCTTGCATTGCGTTTATCCATGCTTCATCTGTCAGAGCTTCTTTGATATTTCTTGGTTTGACTGATGATGTGTAGAAGGCATTTATCATCTCAACATAGTCAATCTTCTTTTTCTGGGTGCGCATGCCTTCCTGTGGATCTCCAATCACATTTTCAAGGGGATGATTCTTTTGAATGTGTGTGGGCACTGAGACTTCTTCTTGTTGACTTGCCTGTGGTTCTGCTTCAGTTTGATCTTCCGTGTCTGATGTTGATGAATTTTCTTCAGTTTGTTGAACAGCAGATGGTTCATCATCTCTTGTGTCACTATGATCCTTCTATAGTGCTTTGTCATCCACTATGACATTGATGGACTCCATGATTGTCCTGGTGCGTTTGTTGAATACTCTGAAGGCTTTTCTGTTTGGTGAGTATCCCACGAATATAGCTTCATCACTCTTTGCATCAAATTTACTTCTATGCTCCCGGTCTCGGAGAATGAAACATTTTGCTCCAAAAATGTAGAAGTGTCCCACGTTTGGAGTTCGCCCTTTCCATAAATCATATGGTGTTTCTTGAGTTCCACTTCTTATATACACACGATTTATTGTGTAGCAGGCTGTGTGTACTGCTTCGGCCCAACGATTCTCTGGTAGTCGTTGTGTGAGAAGCATTGTTCTTGCCATTTCCTGCACGTGCCTATTCTTTCTCTCTGCTACCCCATTTTGTTGTGGGGTTTTTGGCGCTGAGAATTCATGTGATATTCCTTGTTCATCACAGTAATTGCTGGAGGGTTGGCTGTCAAATTCCCCACCGTGATCACTTCTCACTCGTATGAGTTTTTGAATTTTTAACTGTTTCTCATTTTGAACTTTGTTGCAGAGTGTAGCAAAAGCATATAGTGCGTCATCCTTGTTTCTCAGAAAGCATACCCACGTGTATCTCGTAAAGTCATCCACCACCATGAGTACGAATCTCTTGCCTCCAATCACTACAAGAAAACGCCAAAACAACGATGGATTGCAGCGACGGAATTTAGTTCGACGCTAACAGCGACGGATTTAGCGACGGAAGGGTACTCCAACCAAAACTAACGACGGAAAAAAAGGTCCGTCGCTCAGTATTGGCGGGAGGTTGTGCGCGGCATTTTTTACGACGGAATTACCGACGGAATTTTCCGTCGTTAATGTTAGCGATGGAAAATTTCCGTCGCTGACCGAATTTTATTGAAACGCTGCGTTTTGGCTTGGCGACGGAATATATCCGTCGCTACTTTCCGTCGCTTCAAAAACAAATCTATACCCTCTTCCTTAGTCAGTTTCACCGATTTGCAGACAGAAATCGTCGTCTCCGCATGGAGTCTGAGGTCTGCTGTCTAAATCATCGTCGAACCTCCGCCGCCGCGCCATCCGCTCGTCGTCTCCGCCCGCCACCATCAATCGCCGGTCCTCCTTGCTGTCCGGTCACCGTCAGGTCTTCACTCCATCTTCAAATCTCAGGTTTTTTTCCTATTTTATTTTACATTTAAAGTTGTAAACAAATTAGACTATAGATTATTTTTTTACATTCGAATTAACAATTATTATTGTTTGGTGATATAATTAAAAAGTATATTATTATGTGTAAACTTTTGACATTTTCTTTTAAATTTGAAATTAGGGTTTTTTCCCCAAAAAATTTATCATTTTTTTTTAAAAAAAACTTAATTATATGCTTGAAACTTTTAGTGAATGAATATTATGCTTATTAATAACATATTTTAGATATTGTAGATGCTAGATGAGGATTATGTAAGTATTATGTATTTTTTTGAATATTGTAGTTCTTGTGCTTTTATATTTATTTTTTTAGTTTTTTTGTAATGAATTCTATAACTTAATAGTATGTCAATTTTATTTTTTTGAATTTCTCAGAATGAGTGACTTTCACGAAAATCGAGATTGGATGTATAAAAGACTTGATAGCTCAGGTTTTATAAATACAGATTGGGTTG